CATGCTGTGGTGAAACCTTTAATCAAAAAGAAAAATCTGGATCCCTCCATCCTCTCAAACTTTAGGCCCATATCTCAGCTCCCCTATTTATCCAAGGTTCTAGAGAGAGCAATATATAACCAATTGCAGTCTTTTTTAGCCCAGCACAACATTCATGAAAAGTTCCAGTCTGGCTTCAAACCTAGACACAGCCCCGAAACTGCCCTGCTGAGAGTCTTTAATGACTTGATTTTAGCTGCCGACTCAGGTAACTCTGTCATCCTGATGCTTTTAGACCTGTCAGCCGCCTTCCATACAGTTGACCACGCGATCCTGCTACACCGCCTCGGGCAGTCCATGGGCATTACAGGCTCCACCCTTAGCTGGTTCAGGTCTTATCTGACAGATCGGACTTTTCTGTGCAGTCAGGTCACTTTTCCTCTGCTGCAGCCCCACTGACCCGCGGAGTACCCCAAGGCTCCATCTTAGGCCCTGTTCTTTTCTTGTTGTATATGCTGCCTCTAGGTGATGTTTTTAGAAAGCACAAGATTTCACTCCATTGCTTTGCTGATGACGTCCAGATTTACCTGCCACTAAGGTCTCCAAGCAAGGACGCAGTGCAGCCTCTGCTGGATTGTTTGAGTGATGTCAAATCTTGGTTGAGCTCTAATTTCTTAAATCTTAATGAGTCCAAGACAGAGGTTATCCTGTTTGGAGGCCACATGTCCCCACGCAGCTCCGCAGATTTCCTGGGCCCCCTGAACCCCAACATTTGTTCCTCTGTAAAGAATCTCGGGGTGGTTTTTGATAGCCAATTCAAATTTGACAAACAGATCAGTGCTGTTGTCAAAACTAGCTTTTTCCAGCTATGTCTTCTAGCCAAAACCAAGCCCTATTTCTCAGCTGCAGACTTTGAAAGGGTGATCCATGCCTTCATAACCACCAGATTAGATTATTGTAACTCCCTTTATGTTGGCCTGGATCAGTCCTCCCTCAACCGTCTACAGCTCGTCCAGAACGCTGCTGCTCGCCTCCTCATGGGCAAGAAAAAGCGGGACCACATCTCACCAGTCTTAGCCTCCCTCCACTGGCTCCCGGTCCGTATTCGTATTCATTTTAAACTCCTTTTAATTGATTTTAAAGCCCTCAACGGTCTGGCCCCTCTGTACCTCTCTGAGCTCCTTTTGCGCCACACCCCAACCAGAACCTTAAGGTCTTCGGACCAACTACTGTTGGTGGTGCCAAAAACCAGACTAAAGTCTCAAGGTGACAGAACCTTCGCATCAGCTGCCCCCAGGATCTGGAACAGCCTCCCCCTTCACATTCGATCTTCCCAGTCCCTTGAGACTTTTAAATCCTCCTTAAAAACCTTTCTCTTCCACCTGGCGTATCATTCAGCCTGAGCACGATGATCTCAAGTTGTTGTTTTATTTATTTATTTATTTATTTTAATTGCTATTTTAATGTTTGCACTGTTTGCTCTGTCTTTTTATCGTTGTTTTCTACATCTATTTTATTTTTGTTATTGATGTTGTTTTAACTCTGTACCCCCAATGTGTAGCACTTTGGTCGACTGCCGTCGTTTTAAACGTGCTCTAGAAATAAATAAATGAAATAAATGACTTGACTTGACTTGACAATCAACGTCAGCGACAGTTATTGTTGGCAACAATCAACATCAACAACAATTAACACCAGCAGCAGTTATCAGCAGCAACAATCAACGTCAGCAACAGTTATCAGCAGCAACAATCAACATCGGCAACAGTTATTGTCAGCAACAATCTACATCAGCAACAATTTACGTCAGCAACGGTTATTGTCGGCAACAATCAACATCAGCAACAGTTATTGTCGGCAACAATCAACAGCAACAAAAGTTACTGTCGATAACAATCAACGTCGGCAACCATTATTGGTGACATCAATCAACATCAGCAACAGTTATTGGCAGCAACAATCAACGTCAGCAACAATAATCATCAACAAAAATCATCCTTGGCAACAATCAACGCCGGCAACTTTCATCTTCAGCAAAAGTTTTTGTCAGCAACAGTCGCAACGTACAAGTCCAAAATTATCTTTTAATTATTCAGCAACATTAACCCAACATTATACACAAGACACACACATCTGTCCACACCAACTGTTGTAAGTCGGGTGTTGAACATCAAGTGTAAACGTCCAGTGTTGAACGTCAAGTGTAAACGTCCAGTGTTGAACGTCAAGTGTGAACGTCCAGTGTTGAACGTCACATGTGAATGTCCAGCGTTGAACGCCGAGTGTGAACGCAGAGTGTTGAACGTCCAGTGTTGAACGCCGAGTGTGAACGCCAAGTGTTGAACGTCCAGTGTTTAACGTCAGGTGTTTAATGTCAACTGTTAAACATCGAATGTTGAATGTCCAACGTCGAGTGTTGAACATCCAGTGTTGAACGTCGAGTGTGAACGTCGAGTGTTGAACATCATGTGTTAAACGTTGAGTGTTGAACGTCAAGTGTGAATGTCGAGTGTTGAACGTCGAGTGTTGAACGTCGAGTGTTGAACGTTGAGTGTTGAACGTCCAGTGTGAACGTCCAGTGTTGAACGTCCAGTGTTGAACGTTAGCTGTGAACGTCCAGTGTTGAACGTCCAGTGTGAACGTCCTGTGTTGAACGTCGAGTGTTGAACGTCCAGTGTTGAACGTCAAGTGTGAATGTCCAGTGTTGAACGTCGAGTCTTGAACGTCCAGTGTTGAATGCCAAGTGTGAACACCAAGTGTTGAACATCCAATGTTTAACGTCAAGTGTTGAACATCCAGTGTGAACGTCCAGTGTTGAATGTCAATGTGAACGTCCAGTGTAAACGTCCAGTGTTGAACGTCGAGTGTTGAACATCCAGTTTTAAACGTCGAGTGTTGAACGTCAAGTGTGAATGTCGAGTGTTGAACGTCGAGTGTTGAACGTCCAGTGTGAACGTCGAGTGTTGAATGTCAAGTGTGAACGTCCAGTGTTAAACGTCAAGTGTGAACATCCAGTGTTGAACGTTGAGTGTGAACGTCCAGTGTTGAACGTCAAGTGTGAACGTACAGTGTTGAACGTCAAGTGTGAACATCCAGTGTTGAACGTCAAGTGTGAACATACAGTGTTGAACGTCCAGTGTTGAACATCAAGTGTTGTACATATTATAGCAAGAGTGTTGTACGTCGAGCCTTCACTTCTCAGTGTCGGTCGGACAGCTGATACATAAAAATGTCTGTATAAAAATCTATTTAACCTGAAAGTTGTTAATCCTCCGTGGAAATATAAATACGACAAAGTGGGACAGACAGACAGACAGACAGACAGGCACCTTGAGCAGGTTGTGCTCTCTGAAGGTTTTTTGTTCTCTGGCTGACTTCAGCAGAGCCGTCAGCTCAGGAGACATTTCATCAAATGTGGGTTTGGGCTGCAAACACACACACACACACACACACACACACACACACACACACAAACAAACAAACAAACAAACAAACAGAGGTTAGAAAGGCAGACAGGTATGAGACAGAAGCTTTAGATTCTGTTTCATCAGGTAAAATAAAATAAAACTGAGTTTGATTCTTGGTAGAAACTGACAGCCATGCGGGGGGCGTGGTCACGCGGTGCATGGCCACACGGTGCGTGGTCACCAGGGATGTGTCGCACTGATTTGTTAGTAATTAATGATTAATTACTAACAAGTGCTTGATGTTAGCTGGTGAGCTGCATGACTGTCAACTTTAAACAGGTTCAGTTAATTTTCTCAGTGTCTACTGTCAAAGATGGAGTCTGGGCAGGGTCACCGTGAGGCGTATGATGTCATCAACCAAGTCAGACTCTGGTGCGAAGACGTCATCAGCTGAGTCAGACTCTGGCATGATGACGTCATCAGCCAAGCCAGACTCGGGTACGATGAAGTCATCAGCCGAGTCAGACACTGGTGTGATGCAGTGGTGTTGATCTGAACACAGTGGTTCGTTACAGGAAGTGATGTAATGAATTCTAGTGCAGTTCATTTGTGGTGATCAGACCACAAAGTGGTGAGTGTTGCATTCTGGGAGGTCTGACCTGGGCTAACGCCTCAATACATCTGACCAATGAGAGCAGAGAATGTTGTCACCTGACTTTACCTCACGTACCGACAGCAACAGCAACAGAACAAACAAACAAACAAACGTCTGAAAACAACACAAAATTTTTAAAAACTAAAAATTAATAATTAAAATCAGTAAAACTAAAACTGTAAAATATTCACACAGATCCATAAAGTTAAAAAAACAACAACTCAGAATTAAAATTCTAATAACTGTATGTTGTAACACTCGGCGCTCCCTCACCGGTCTCCTGACCTGACACTGAACTGTGACAAGAGTCAGGAGGTCACAGTAACGAATCAAACGTAGACCGACAGGAAGTGAAGAGCAGGAGGAAATAAATGCATTAAGAAGCCCCCCCCCCAGCAGCCAATCAGAAACCAATTAGAAGCTATTAAAACTGAGTAAAGAAAATAAACAGCAGATGAAAGAGACCTGCTGAGGGTCCACCATTTTGATTTTAAGGTAGAGGAAAAACAAAATGGTGTCTGACAGGAAGTTTAACTGAACACTGCAGCTAGGATACTCTATCCTCACTGTAGGACACTCTGTCCTCACTGTAGGACACTCTGTCCTCATTGTAGGACACTCTGTCCTCACTGTAGGACACTCTGTCCTAACTGTGGGACACACTGTCCTTTTGTAGGACACACTGTCCTTTATAAGACACAGTGTCCTCAGTGTAGGACACTCTGTCCTAACTGTGGGACATTCTATCCTTCTGTAGGACACACTGTCCTTCTATAGGACACTCTATCCTAACTGTGGGACACACTGTCCTTTATAAGACACAGTGTCCTCACTGTAGGACACTCTGTCCTCACTGTGGGACACACTGTCCTAACTGTAGGACACACTGTCCTTTATAAGACACAGTGTCCTCACTGTAGGACACTCTGTCCTAAGTGTAGGACACACTGTCCTTCTATAGGACACTCTGTCCTAACTGTGGGACACACTGTCCTTCTGTAGGATACACTGTCCTTCTATAGGACACTCTATCCTAACTGTGGGACACACTGTCCTTTATAAGACATGCTGTCCTCAGTGTAGAACACTTTGTCCTAACTGTAGAACACTCTGTCCTTACTGTAGGACACTCTGTAATCACCGTGGGACACACTGTTCCCACTGTAGGACACTCTGTCCTAACTGTAGGACACTCTGTCCTAACTGTGGGACACTCTGTCCTTCTGTAGGACACTCTATCATAACTGTGGGACACACTGTCCTTTATAAGACACGCTGTCCTCAGTGTAGGACACTTTGTCCTAACTGTGGGACACTCTGTCCTCACTGTTGGACACTCTGTAGTCATTGTAGGACACACAGTCCTCACTGTAGGACACTCTATCCTAACTGTGGGACACACTGTCCTTTATAAGACATGCAGTCCTCAGTGTAGGACACTTTGTCCTAACTGTGGAACACTCTGTCCTTACTGTAGGACACTCTGTAATCACCGTGGGACACACTGTTCCCACTGTAGGACACTCTGTCCTAAGTGTAGGACACACTGTCCTTCTATAGGACACTCTGTCCTAACTGTGGGACACTCTGTCCTTCTGTAGGACACTCTGTCCTAACTGTGGGACACACTGTCCTTCTGTAGGACACACTGTCCTTCTATAGGACACTCTATCCTAACTGTGGGACACACTGTCCTTTATAAGACATGCTGTCCTCAGTGTAGGACACTTTGTCCTAACTGTGGGACACTCTGTCCTCACTGTGGGACACACTGTTCTTTGGGACACTCTGTCCTCACTGTTGGACACTCTGTAGTCATTGTAGGACACACAGTCCTCACTGTAGGACACTCTATTCTTCTGTGGGACACATTGTATTCACTGTAGGACACACTGCCCTACTTAAAGACACTCTGTCCTTCTGTAGGACACACTGTCCTCACTGTAGGACACTCTATATTCACTGTAGGACACACTGTCCTTCTGTAGTATACACTGTCCTCACTGGAGGACACAGTGTCCTTCTCTAAGACACTGACCTTCTATGGGACACTCTGTAATCGCTATGGGACACACTGTTTTAACTCCAGTCTGTTAATCAACCCTAACCTTAAACTAGACTATAATTCATTTGAAAGCCTTGTTCTTGTCCTGTCCTCACTGTAGGACACACTGTGCTCCCTCTAAGACACTCTATATTTACCATAGGACACACTGTCCCTCTGTAGGACACAACGTCCTCACTGTAGGAAACTATATTGACTGCCCCTCTATAGGACACTCTGTCCTCACTGTAGGACACACTATATTCACTGTAGGAAACTATGTCCTCACTGTAGGACACTCTATATTCACTGTAAGAAACACTGTCCCTCTGTAGGACACAACGTCCTCACGGTAGGAAACTCTATATTCACTGTCCCTCTGTAGGACACACTATATTCACTGTATGACACACTATTTTCACTGTAGGACACTCTGTCCTCACTGTAGGACACTGTATATTCACTGTAGGACACACTATTTTCATTGTAGGACACTCTGTCCTCACTGTAGGACACTCTATATTCACTGTAGGACACTGTCCTCACTGTAGGACGCTCTATATTCACTGTAGGACACTCTATATTCACTGTAGGACACTGTCCTCACTGTAGGACGCTCTATATTCACTGTAGGACACACTGTACTCACTGGAAGACACTCTATATTCACTGTAGGACACTGTCCTCACTGTAGGACACTCTATATTCACTGTAGGACACTCTGTAATCACTGTGGGACACACTGTTTTAACTCTAGTCTGTTAATCAGCTCTAACCTTAAACTAGACTATAATTCATTTGAAAGCCTTGTTCTTGTCCTGTCCTCACTGTAGGACACACTGTGCTCTCTCTAAGACACTCTATATTTACCGTAGGACACACTGTCCCTCTGTAGGACAGGCTGTACTCACTGTAGGCCACACTATACTCACTGTAGGACACTCTGTATGCACTGTAGGATACACTATATTCACTGTAGGACACTGTATGCACTGTAGGACACTCTATATTCACTATAGGACACACTGTACTCACTGTAGGATACTCTATATTCACTGTAGGGCACACTGTCCTCCGTAGAACACACTGTTCTCACTGTAGAACACACTGTCCTCACTGTAGGACACTCTGTATGCACTGTAGGATACACTATATTCACTGTAGGACACTGTATGCACTGTAGGACACTCTATATTCACTGTAAGACACACTGTACTCACTGTAGGATACTCTATATTCACTGTAGGGCACACTGTCCTCCATAGGACACACTGTTCTCACTGTAGAACACACTGTTCTCACTGTAGGTCACACTGTACTCACTGTAGGATACTCTATATTCACTGTCGGACACACTGTCCTCTGTAGGACACACTGTACTCGCTGTAGAACACTCTGTCCTCACTGTAGAACACTCTATATTCACTGTAGGACACACTGTGCCTCTGTAGGACACACTGTACTCGCTGTAGAACACTCTGTCCCACTGTAGGACACTCTATATTCACTGTAGGACACACTGTCCCTCTGTAGGACACACTGTACTCACTGTAGGATACTCTATATTCACTGTAGGACACACTGTCCTCTGTAGGACACTCTGTCCCTCTGTAGGATACTCTATATTCACTGTAGGACACTATCCTCACTGTAGGACACTCTGTATTCACTGTAGGACACTCTGTCCTCACTGTAGGACACTGTGTATTCACTGTAGGACACTTTGTCCCTCTGTAGGACATGCTGTCCTCACTGTAGGACAGTTTTTCAGAGCTGAAGTGTTCAGTTTGAAATTACTTCCTGTGACAGTGCTTTGAGACTTAACCCATCACTGTCAGGTCGCTGTGTTTGCATCTCATGCACGTTTCCATGCCAACCACCAACCAGCCAATCAGCATACCACTCTTGCCATGGAGGGTGATGTTCTGCCTGTCAGGTGACTTGGTGAGAGGGCGGGGCTTAGACTCAGTTCATCCAGAGGGGGTTTAAGGGAAGGGATGTGGAGGGGGCTCAAAGGTGAGATCACAGAGGCCCCGCCCCCACGGAAGTCCAGAGTCCTGGCTCCGCCTCCTCTGGAACCACCCCCACTGATGACATCACTGCCGATGTCAGCGATGCCGGTTAGCAGCTCCACTGGCGAGGTCGGTGTCTTCACCTCACGAATCGTGATCAGCGGTCCCCCTGTGATGACATCATCAGCGGTGGACAGTGGTATGATTCTGACCTGCTTGCCCATCTCAGTATTAGTTGTTGTCATGGTGACGTCTGGGCTGTCGTCCGTCACAGTCATGGTGACGACTCTTCCCGAGGCCGTGTCGTAGCTCTGCCCCACTGTGTAGCTCCTCTCTCTGATTGGCTGAGGAGGAGCTTGGTTTATCATGACCCCCCCCTCCTGGAGTGCACAAGTGAGCAACATCAAACACACTCGCGGCATTTCATTGGTAGTTCCACCTCCTGTCAGCTGACATCACACAGAGGCCGCTGGGAGGGCGGAGCTTCGATCTGATTATCGTCACTGTTCTTACAGTGAGGACATGATGTCATTCTGTTTATCTCATGTTATTTTATTTAGAGAACAGTGCACATTAATGAACATTGCTGTAAATGTGCCAGTGTTAGCCAAAGGCTAATTTTCAACTGTAGTCCTCCGGCATGATGTTAAAAAGACCTCAGGCCTTCTGTCTCAGGATCACTGTGTCCTGTCCTACTGTTTATCTGTCCTACTGTCTGTCCAATTGTCCTACTGTCTGTCCATTTGCCCTACTTTCTGTCCTACTGTCTGTCTGTCCTACTATATGTCCACCTGCCCTACTTTCTGTCCTTCTGTCCGTTTGTCCTACTGTCTGTCCTGATGCTGTCCTATTGTCCTCCTGTCTGTCCTACTGTCCATCTGTTCCACTGTCTTACCGTCTCTCCTACTGTCTGTCCATCTGTCCTACAGTCAGTCCAACTGTTCATCGTTCTAATGTCCTGTATCTGTCCTAATTGTCTGTCTGTCCATCTGTCCTACTGTCCATCTGTCTGTCCTACTGTCTGTCCTACTGTCCATCTTTCCCATTGTCTTACTGTCCGTCCTACTGTGCATCTGCCTGTCCTACTGTCTGTCCTTCTGTCCATCTGTCCTACTGTTCTACTGTCCATCCTGGACGAGGGATCCCTCCTCTTTGTCCCATTCTGAGGTTTCTACTATGATTTTAATGTTAAAGTGGAGTTTGTATTTTAATCAGCTGAGAGGGACAGAGGATAGAGGGACAGAGGACAGAGGACATAGGACAGATGGACAGAGGATAGAAGAACAGAGAACATAGGATAGGGGGACAGAGGATAGAGGGACAAGGGACAGAGGATAGAGAGACAGAGGGCAGATGACAGAGTGACAGAGGACAGAGGGACAAACGTGTCCTGTAACATCCATTTAAAGACTGTATGTATTTATTGATCTTCTTCTTCGGTGGTGTGACCTCCAGTCTGACACTAGCCCCGCCCTCTGACGGTCGACCTAACCAAGGTCACTGATGATGACTGCGAGAGGAGGAGCTAAGGGAACGACCAATGAAACGCAGCGGCATACAGACTGACAAGTGAGAAACACCTGGACCACTCTGTTCATGTCTCAGTCCACCTACCACTGCTGAGCTCTCGTCCAATGGGAAGGCCTGAGGGACAGACAGACAGACAGACAGACAGACAGACAGGCAGACAGGCAGGCAGGCAGGCAGACAGACAATGTGATAATGTTGCTGTCATCATTAGTCATACTTCTACTGTTATTATACACAAATGACTATTGTCACACATGTATACTGCCAGATATTAATACATACTTTCAACATATTGTACCACAGTAGCCAGAGCTATAATTATAATATTATTACTTTCAATAATGTTGTTGTAAGCTACTGTCATTACCGTCTGTCCTGCATCTCTCTCTCTCTGTCTCTGTCTCTCTCTCTGTCTCTCTGTCTCTCTCTCTGTCTGTCTCTCTCTCTTTCTCTGTCTCTCTCTCTCTCTCTGTCTCTCTCTCTCTCTCTCTCTCTCTCTCTCTCTGTCTCATTGTGTCATACGGATTACTGTTAATTTATTATGCTGATCTGTTCTGTACGACATCTATTGCACGTCTGTCCGTCCTGGAAGAGGGATCCCTCCTCAGTTGCTCTTCGTGAGCTTTCTACCGTTTTTTTCTCCGTTAAAGGGTTTTTTGGGGAGTTTTTCCTGATCAGCTGTGAGGGTCATAAGGACAGAGGGATGCCGTATGCTGTAAAGCCCTGTGAGGCAAATTGTGATTTGTGATATTGGGCTTTATAAATAAAATTGATTGATTGATTGATCGATGATTGGTGTGTGTGGAATGTGCATTACATTCATCCACCAGCAGACAGATGTGTGTCTCACATGTTGGGAGTCTCCTCACCTCTTCTGGTTCCAGCGGTTCGATCATCGGGGAGTCGTCAAATCGTCGCAGAGGTGACGAGGCGAGACGTTTCTCCCACTCTGTCATCGCTCCTCCTCCTCCTTCTGCTCCTCCTCCTCCCTCTAAGAAGGAGCGTCTGAGAGCACTGATGGTGCTCTGAGGTTTCTGCTCCTCCTCCGGACTCCCCAGCATCTCCTGGACACACAAACAAATGCTAGGTGTTTCTCAAAGTCAAGGAAGGATCCTCAAATGGCCGAATTCGAAGGACACTACGTTATTGACCTGCCGAAGGGCTGTTCCAATGTCAAGGATCCTTCTGAGTTTCATGAAGGACTGAGACCTTTCAGAGAAATTCGAAGGATGCATGTGTGGATCCTCCGCGGTGTTGGGATTCACAGGACCACAGATATTTTGTCATTTGATAAAATCTACACTGGACATTTAAAGGCTTCTTCCTTTGCATGCTATTTGTCTTCAAACAAATAGAGCTATGTGACACCCATCTCCAGGAGGTCTTACCTCACACCTCAGTGAGCGAACCCTGCGCAGAGCTAGTTTCGAGCAGCACAACACGAGGCGCGCTCAGTTTGGTAGTTTGGCAGACCGAGGTGCACTGAAATGGGTGTGGCGGCGCAGCAGGGGGAGGTGTCGACAGATCCAACTTGGCGCAGTGATAGTTTCGTGGCAAAAGGCTTTGCCGAAGGTGTGCTAAAAGCTCGCAAGCTGAAACCAGGTCTACTGTCAGCGCAGGGGGAGTGCAGCCGGTGTAAGCCGAAGTTTGGCTGACCGGCGTACAGTGCGCACACGTCATCAAAACCTCACAGGCAGGTTTCCAGAATATCAGGCACATTAACGATGCAATAAATACATAAAGAAACACAATTCAATGCAACTATCTGCAATCAGCACATAAATGTATCTCTATATCGACTGTCCCGTCACATCTGATGTCAGATCAAAGGGGATTGGCACCGTTTGGCACGTTTGGCACACGTAATGGAAACCGAACCTGATTTGATTAACACAGCTGCAAACTAATGAGTCAACATCCCTCTCAGCCAACCACAAACAGCCACAGCATCAGATAGGGAGTATATATTCAACATCTGTCATCTTAGAAAAGTCAAAAGAAAAGAAACAGAGTGAGACTGCTAGAGAGAAAGAGAGCGCGCGCACGAAAGAAACGCAACATTGATTTACAATTGTGGTGACCTCCTCCCAGGCTACCTTTGCATCATCAGCCCGTGGAGGTCTGCTCGCAGTTCTGTATATTCGGACACTGCGAGCTTGGACCTCCCGGACCAAAAGATCAGTTTCCTCCTGGGAGAAGTTTGGCCGTCTGACGCTGCCGCTCTCTTCTGCCATGGCGAATTGAGTCAACTCTCATTACACCTTTGCGCGGCACATTTAAGGGCGAGGAGAGGGGCTCATTTGATTGGTGTGATGTGTGTAAAACCCACTCCACGCCTTCTCTCCTCCCTCTTTCCAACTTGCGCCGGTAGGAGGGACGGAGATGGGAAAGAGGAGTAGCTGCGCCAGCATGCACGGTGTGCCAAACTTGCAAAATCCGCCTGGCCACACCCAGTTGGCGAAGCGCAGGTGCGCTGCGCCCCCGCCACGCCTGGTCTGCGAAACTAGAGCCCAATGTCTTTCTCTTCACACACACACACACACATATACATACCAAGCTAGTTAGAATTTGTGTGTTTGGTTTGCTTTGCTAATTTGTGAATAAATATAATTCTTTGGAATAATGCCTGCTGTCTGTTTAATGTTGCACAAGAGTGAATGAATAGTCAACCTCTGCTGCGTCAAGAACTCCGAAATCCTTCAGGCGTTAATGTTAATTTTGGTTGTTGTCATTAATTTAATTATTAATCAAAATTCCAAATTAATAGTTTAGCCTATTTTATAAGACTGATACCTTTAACTGGCTATCATTTTTCCCTTTACGGGAATAGTGCACCACGATGTTAATGTTAATTAAGTCACATTATTTAACATAATTATTAATTATTATTAATAATAATTAATTATTTTGCCAATTAAATCCCAACATATTTGGTGCCCCTTGGTGAGGCCTAATTTAAATCCCAACAGCGGATATAAAATCCCCACAATGCTTTGCACAGTACACGATTTGCTGGAAGTGTGGGCGAGGCCTCTTCAATGAAACCTGCGGCGCAGAGCTCGGCAGGATTTAGATTAATATGTCATTTATTTGGATTAATGTCTCCACCTGAGTTTATCAGACAGAAACCTCATTTACACTTTCCGATGTGTCTACTGTCACTACCTCGGAGTAACATTTGATCAAGATTTGTCTTTTAATTCTCATTTAAAACAAACCTCACAGACTGCATTTTTTCATCTGCGTAATATTGTGAAAATTAGGCCTATCCTGACCCGAAAAGATGCAGAAAAATTGGTCCACGCTTTTGTTACCTCAAGGCTGGATTACTGTAACTCTCTATTATCAGGTAGCTCTAGTAAGTCCTTAAAAACTCTCCAGCTAATTCAGAATGCAGCAGCACGTGTACTAACAGGAACTAAGAAACGAGATCATATTTCTCCTGTTTTAGCTTCTCTGCACTGGCTCCCTGTAAAATCCAGAATTGAATTTAAAATCCTACTGTTAACTTATAAAGCTCTAAATGGTCAAGCTCCGTCATATCTTAGAGAGCTCATAGTGCCATATTATCCCACCAGAACACTGCGCTCTGAGAACGCAGGGTTACTCGTGGTCCCTAAAGTCTCCAAAAGTAGATCAGGAGCCAGAGCCTTCAGCTATCAGGCTCCTCTCCTGTGGAATCATCTTCCTGTTACGGTCCGGGAGGCAGACACCGTCTCCACATTTAAGACTAGACTTAAGACTTTCCTCTTTGATAAAGCTTATAGTTAGGGCTGGCTCAGGCTTGCCCTGTACCAGCCCCTAGTTAGGCTGACTTAGGCCTAGTCTGCCGGAGGACCCCCTATAATACACCGGGCTCCCTCTCTCTCCCTCTCTCTCTCTCTCTCTCTCTCTCTCTCTCTCTCTCTCTCTCTCATCCTATTACTGCATCTTGCTAACTCGGCCATTCTGGATGTCACTAACTCGGCTTCTTCTCCGGAGCCTTTGTGCTCCACTGTCTCTCAGATTAACTCATATCACAGCGGTGCCTGGACAGCGTGACGTGTGTGGTTGTGCTGCTGCCGTGGTCCTGCCAGATGCCTCCTGCTGCTGCTGCCATCATTAGTCATTAGTCATACTTCTACTGTTACTATACACATATGACTATTGTCACACAAGTATACTGTCAGATATTAATACATACTTTCAACATATTGTACCACAGTAGCCAGAACTATAACTATAATATTATTACTTTCATTAATGTTGTTGTAAGCTACTCTCATTACCTGCATCTCTCTCTCTGTCTCATTGTGTCATACGGATTACTGTTAATTTATTATGCTGATCTGTTCTGTACGACATCTATTGCACGTCTGTCCGTCCTGGAAGAGGGAGTCCTCCTCAGTTGCTCTTCCTGAGGTTTCTACCATTTTTGATTGATTGATTGATTGATTGATGATGAGATTTATTAAATAACATGATTTAGATAAAACATTAAAGTTTTAAATGAATCATTCATAGCATAGATGGAGCGCTAAGTGCTCCATCTATGCTGTGAATGATTCTTTGCTTTATAAATAAATTTGATTTGATTTGATTGATTACCCGGCGGTATAATGTACAATTGGCGCGGTCAGCTGTTTGAGAGCAGCGCAGCTCATCAGATCAGATCTGTTCATATTATTGTAGCGCAGTGTGTGGTGACACACACAGAAAATATGAATCAATGTAAAATGACAGTGATTCTGTGTGTGAGTCTGTGTTCATACTGTTAATGATCATTTAGAACAGCTGTTGTTTTTACTTCATTACTCCACTGCATTCAGGCATTGTCACGTAACAAATTCCAGCACTTGAATACACCGTACCACAACACAGCAGCATGTCAAGTGGGCCGAACCCGAACCGAATATGAGCAAAAGTTTTTGATTTGTTATCCCCCCCAAAGCTGTAAACCTAGGGGAAACACTGTTAGTGGTTTGGGTTCGAGTGCCTCCAATGCGATTAGTTAAACTGGTGGTAAGGAGAGCAAATGAATTGCATTTCCGCAAATAACAAGCATTCCAGAACACAAAGAATTTTTTTAAGTATGTGTGCTTGTCCACACTTGTTTATCGATTCAACATGGACGAAGACACTCTTGTAATTTGTGCTGCCATGTGGTACCTGTGTGGATGTAGCCGCCGTTGGGTCTGGGTTCACAATATCCTCCGGGGCCATGAACAGCACGGGGAATATCATCGGCTGGTGCGGGAGCTGCGGCTGGATGGGGAGAGGTTCCAGCGCTACTTCTGGCTGAACATAGATCAGTTTGACAACTTGCTGCTTGTTTTGAAGTAGGAACAAATGTGTGGTAGGAACTAAAAGTTTCCGAGGATGTTCTCTGGGTTCCACACAAGCGATGGACATCTACATTCCGATTGGTTACTGGTCATTTTCAGCTCAAACGCATCATAGCTAATTTGCATAAAGTTAACCAGTCTTCAACTTTCATTTGCAGCTCAATTCGCCGCCACTCATCGCTTTTGCAACTCAAAACGCCTCTGGTTGCCACTATCTATTGAAAATGAATTAGACCTGTCGCCTTTGCAGCTCTGGCAGCTTTTGGTGTGAACGTACAGTTAGTCTGTTCCAATGTGTGTTCACTGAACGATAGGGAGGACTCTTGTCTCTGCAGGATCCTTGACTTTAGGAAAACCCTCCGAGTCTCTGTCAGGAGACGACATGAAGACATCCATGAAAATGAGATCAGTTTTACCTGAGTCCTCAAGTCCTCGTCTTGATCAGACTGTTGGACAAACAGAGAGAGAGACAGACAGACAGACAGGTTGATGTTAGAATATGAACTCTCAGCTGCTTTCAGAGATTTTAGTTTTTTTAAGTCAGACTTTTGTTTTAGCAAATTTTTCACAGGTTGAAGATCTGAGACTGTTTTTATTCCTCCTCATCCATCACCTGCCAGGTGAGTCATCACTACACAGGTGAGTCATCACTGCACAGATGAGTCAGTATCTGACAGGTGAGTCATCACTGCACAGGTGAGTCATCGCTACACAGGTGAGTCATCACTGCACAGATGAGTCATCACTACACAGGTGAGTCAGTATCTGACAGGTGAGTCATCACTGCACAGGTGAGTCATCACTACACAGGTGAGTCATCACTGCACAGGTGAGTC